TTTTTGCTCAAGATTGCTTTGGCTATTCAGGGTTTTCTGTGGTTCTTACAGTTATGGAAGCTGGGAAGTCCAAGGTTATGGGATCACATATTGCAAGAGCCTTCTTGCCGGTGGGTACTCTCTGCAGAGTTCTGAGGCAGTGCAGGGCAACACATTGTGAGGGAATTAAGAATGCTAACTCAGGTCTCTCATATTCTTACAAAGCCACCATAATTCACTGATTCATTAACTCATTGATCCATGAATGGACTAATCTATTCATGAAGGCACAACCCTCATGACCTAATCGCCTCTTAAATGCTCCACCTATCAATACTGCCACATTGGGGATTAAGTTTTAACATGAACATTAGTGGGGACAAATTTTCAAACCAGAGCAGATGAGATTTATGGTTTAAGTTGGTTGCATCCTTAGTCTTCAAAGTAGGCATGAGCTCCTTCCTAACAGAAAATGAAGTGGTAATGGCATCACAGTTAGCCTAATTATCTGTAATACAATCTGTACAATCCTAATTATCTGTGGTAAATCTGTAGCCACAATCAATGTGTATTGTACAAATCTGTAGCCACAATCAACCTGTATTGATTGTGAAGTATGTATCCTGACGACTGTAGCACTTGTCTATTAAGGCAAGGATGGGGTGGAATGACTTCTTTTGAATGCTGCAGAGCTCTAACCCAAAGAAAATGGCAAACTCATATGATTATACTCTCAGTTTAAGTCATGTTCAGAGAACTAGAAAGCATCTGCAGGAGCCTAAAATTAATATTTTTATAATGGCATAGCTGACTTTGCTGATAATGAGATGCAAAATTTAGTTGTGTGGGGTAGAATTATACGGTAAGTTGAATTCACGCCTTCACTAAGTTTCTCACTTGAAATCTAGGGCATTCCTTGGGAAAGAGTGAAATAATGACACTTGTAATGGGGACATCTGGGTGATCACAGATGAAGCTGAAAATGTGGAGCTCTAGGATCACTCTGAGCCTCTCTTGACAGTAGAAGCCAACTGCCTTTCAGTATCTGAAAAGACTAACCTTTCTTGCTTAATGGCCTTATCTGGAACAGTTGCTTTGCAAGAAAGTGCCTTTCTCCCTAGGACTCACTGCAACCGTATATGGTTGCCACTACACCTAAAATTAGATAAGATCTCCCCATGTTCTAGGAGGACAAGGGTGAGGTCTGACTCAGGAGGAAACAAATTACACTCTAAAAGAATTTAAAGATGCTCATTATATTGAAAGAGACCTGGGTAATAGGCATTGGAATGGATTCTAAGGATAGTAAACCAAGGAGAACAAACTACAACACTTAATCAGTCCAACTTTATTCATATGACTTCATTTGCCAGAGATTCTTAAGTGTTAGTTTGTGCAGCTAGCAATTTATTCTAACAATTTGTCTCTAACAATTTACTTGGTTAGTTGACACTTGGGCTCAACAGCAAACTGATATTTAATGAGACTGAGATTCTAGAATTTCCTTGGTCTGACATAGAGAAGGAATCTGAAATCTTAAGGAAATTCAAATTTGGGAATAGTTTATCATATGCTAGGCCTAGAAGATACTTCCTTCACAGAAGTATGAGAAACAAGTGAGTGAGGGGAGCACACATGTCCTTAAAGAGCTCTGTGGTAGTTGTTGTGTAGATGGGATACCATGGTGGGAGGTGCCCCACAACACAGGTGACACATTAATCAAGATTTGGTTGTTTTCTGCCTCTTAAATCTTTAGCTCCAAAAAGTAATCTTTCCGATCAGTTCAGGGCAGTAGAGTCCATCTAGGGTGGATTTCTCAGGCTTCATAAATTCAGGTTAATGATTTTAACTATGCATTTATTTATCATATTCATTATTACATAAAAAGACTCTAAAAAAAACCTCTAATAATGATTTTCTCAATTCCTGGAGATGCATTCTGGCATGCTTCTCCAGAAATCAAGACCTAGTTTTGAAGTCTAGCCCTGGGATTGATGAGCTGAGGAACTTTAAGGAAACCATTTAACCTATCTGAGTCTTTGTTTATACTTTTACAAATATCTCACAGAGAAAATGAGGTTATGCATAGAAAGTTTAAACACGGTGCCCAGCATTTAGTAAGATTCAACAAACAGCCATTATCATTGTTATTATTTCATTTTCCATACCAGGTTGTCAGTTGAATTTTTCAAATAACACATTATTTCCCAAACTTATAGACAGGAAATATTCAACATTAACTCTACTGTTTAAATAAACCTAAACATCTTCTCTTTCTTTAGTGTTTTTAAAATTTCCTGTTCTAGCAATATTTTGGCTATATCTGAATCAAATAATATGATTTTGTTTAAAACCCCAAACTTTTCCCAGCTTGAAAAGAACAGGCTATGACTCACTAGGACTAACTCCATATTTCTTAAATATCTTGACTGATGATTGCTGACTTGAACTGAATTAATGCAAACTGCACTGAGGCTGTGGCTCAGGAAGACAGATGTCATGACAAGGAATGGTAGGAGTCCATTCTTGCTGATATGTCTGTGCCCTATTGTTAGTTGTCTTGCATCCTGGGCAAGGCAATTATTAACCAAGAAAGTGGTTTTAGATCTTTCTCTCCAAGTAGAAACATCTGTTTTATGGCTGGGTGTGTAGCTCACGCCTGTAATCCCAGCACTTTGGGAGGCCAAGGTGGATCACCTGAGGTCAGGAGTTACAGACCAGCCTGGCCAATGTGGCAAAACCTCGTCTCTACTATAAATACAAAAATAGCCAGGTGTGGTGGTGCATACCTGTAATCCCAGCTACTCAGAGGACTGAGGCAGAAGAATCGCTTGAACGTGGGAGGTGAAAGTTGCAGTGAGCTGAGATTGCACCATTGCATTCTAGCCTGGACAACAGAGCAAGATTCCGTCTCAAAAAAAAAAAAAAAAGAAAAAAGAAAGAAAAAAGAAAAGAAAAAGAAACATTTGTTTTATAATCTGTTGCTTATACATTCCTGGAGATTAGTGCACCCATGTGATATTTTTCCAATATGTCACTTCTCTATGGAGTTGATCAAGGGGAGCAAACATGACTTAATCCTCCTTCTATCCCCAGCTGTCATGCAGTGCCTGGTACACATTAGATGTGCAGCAAATCCTGAATTACAACATCACTTTGGAGCAGTGGTATGTCTTGTTTGATTTGGTTTATTTAGGTCAGTTTCCCAACCATTCCTGAGAGATATGCACCTCCATCAACCACAGTGAATGACTTTCTACATTAATGATTCTCAACTGCATAAAGGAAACTAGAAGACTGGGCATGCTGCTCACCTCTCCCAGAAATCTGCAGTTGCTGTTGTTGTATTTTTGTGGGTTGTTTTTTCAGTTGAGTACTCAAACATCCATAGATTTTATCAGAACGTTGACAAATGAAATTAAATTAACATCTATATCCAATGTCATGCCCTTGCTCATGAAAAACTCTAGCCCTTGCAAAGTCCATCCTCCTTCCAGCCTCTGGCCCCCAGGTGTTCCTGAGAGTCATCAGGGATATGTTTCCTGTGTTCTTGTGGTATCTGCTAACTCCTGCATTGGTTCTTATTGCCTGCAAGAGTGTCTCCATAACCACAGCAGGCAAGACACCCTAATGTGAAATCCAGGAGCACTGTTTTTCAAAGTTCCCCTAGCTACTAACCCTGGAGGTGTCAGAGCAGTGCTGGGCTCCTTTCCGTTAGGGAGACTGCTTCTCTCCTGTCTTTGTAGCAAGGTGTTACCTGGGCCAACAGTTGAGCTGCTCACATCCACATCCATCCATAAGGCCTCAGGAAAACAGCTCCTTTGGCATCTGCCTTGAATCCTCTCTCTGTCCAGTCCAAGTAGCTTGGGGTACAGATATCTTTCTATGCCTTCCATTGTCCTTTTTGTCATTTCAGTACACGAAAAAATAAGCAAGCACTTCTCCCACATCTACCAGAAGACTGAGATCCCCCATATATCAGTTCAGACAAATAAACAATGACAGGTCTCAGGTTCAAATAGTAAAACTCTGTGTCCTCATCTGGACTTAGCTGGCGTCTTGCCACATATTTTAAGACAAATGGAAGTTTGTTATTCATTAGTAGCATGATCTCAAAGAAAACTAGTTTCCTGTATATGTGTATGTTGGTGTTCCCTGAAGTAGCATGGGAACTTGTTTTTAATACAATTCTGCATATAGAATGAGATGAGAAAAGTCAGGGGGAAAAAATAAGGAACTCAAATCCTTGCAATGTTCCTTGAGTATCATCTAAAGCAGAGAAGCTCTCTTAAATGTAAATAAATCAGGATGAAAATGGAAACATAGTAGAGTATTTAGCAGAACTAGACATAACTTTTCCAACACTAATTTACGATCAAAACTAAATGTTAAGTCCCTCCCTAGGACCTGCCAGGCACAAAGCAAAGTGTAAGGGCTGGGCCTGGACAGCTGTGTTTATGCCACATAACTTCTGTGCCCAGGTCTCTCTCTTTCTCTGTCCAAAGGTGATTCAGAAAAAGCCAATTTGTTGGCTGTTTGAAGATCATTCTCATTCTTGATTGTACACCATGAGTCTGTTTCTACTTAACTGTTCCAATCTGATTTCCCTTGGTTATGGTTGTAAGGTTAATAACCGGGCAACGTGGATTCTGGTTCTAATTCTTCCTGAAACCATCTGAGTGATAGTAAAGTGTACAATTAACTGAGTTGGGCCTGTTTCCCCCATCTACATAAGAAGGTGTTCAGTCCACAGTTTCAAAAATCTCTCCTAAGCAAAATAGTGCATGAGATTTTGTGCTAGTAAAACAGAATATTCTCTGAGGTGGCTTTCAGTGATTTTGGCAGTGTATATGGTATTCTCTGTTATACCAGTTTGGTATTGCATTAGAATGTCAATTACTACCTTAGTTCTAGACATGTTTCTTATCTTTTCATATATAGCTAAGGTGTACCTGTGAGGTGTGCTGTATCCTATTTATTAAAAAATATTATTTTCCCAGTAAAGTGAAGATTATGCTGAATTTAGAGGGTGAACATAAAATGTATAATAATAAAAAATCAACATGAAGTGCCTCTCTGAAAATATTATCCCAGCCTTGCATTGAACAGGATATATCAACCTGGATTCTTATGCCCACCAATGCCAAAGTACTACAGATACAGGCATGTTCAACTTGGCAAGCAAAACTGTTGATGCTTCTGCAAAGAAAGACTCTCTCATATTAACAGTCATAATATTTTACTTTGGAGTTGTATTTAAACAACCTCATTATTTTGGAGGGCAGCCTGAGAAAGCCTTAAGAGTTTGACACTGAGTTTGAAGATATTTTCTCGTATGTTCGTGTGCAGATAACATTGTTCACAGAGCTTTCCTATAAGACAAAGAAAGGTGAAGTACTTCAGTATAATTGGGAAACTGACATTTGCTATCCATACATACATTCCTTAATAATATTGAAAGATATCTATATAGACTATAGATAGGACCTATCTGTTAGCTGGTTTTGCCATGTTCTATGTAACCTATATATGGGAAATCACATATGTGTGGTATGTATAGGGTATGTATCACATTTATGTATTTATAAAGCACGGTATACAATTTGGAATTTGAAGTTTTTATTTAAATATTTTAAATACCAACATTGATGCATTTTTGCTATTTTACATACTCTACATTCTCTAAGTAATAATACCAGCTTACATTGATGTAGTATTTTATGGTTTTCAGGGCACTAATATACACATGATGATATTTAATTCTCTCAGAAAACCTTTGGCAAAGACTCTGTCTATATCTTAAAGGCAAGGAATCTGAAGAGATTAAATGAATTGTCCAAAGTCATATAAGTACTGAATGGCAGCGGTGGGAATCCACATCCTTGGATTCTGAGTGTAGTGTTCTTCCTAATGAACTATAAAACCTTTCTGTTTATTGGCTAATATCATTATAAATAGCAATAAAATCAATCATCCTTAGTCTTCACCTTGTGACTTCATCAGGAATAACATGTATTCTTCATTGTAGAAAGAAAAAATATCATTGTATTAAGAAATGAGATTAGATTTTTGTAACCTAAACACATATCTTGCATATTCCCTTAGAACTATTTTATATTATGTAGAACATTACCTTTTTATTCATTTTGGTGTAAGTAAGGGTTTGGGAGGAGGAAAATTATGAACACACATCCCTCTACTCTGGAGAAGTGGGGATGATGACTTGGGAGGCCATCTGAAAGGGAGCAGGATGGATTCTATAAAACACAGATTTTTCAATGAAAACAATCTGACTTCTAATCCCAGTACCGCCACATTTTTCTAGTTGTATATCCTTAGGTAAGTCAATGTCGGAATCTCAGTTTCCTCACTGTTAAATGGGATAATAAGCCTTACCTTATAGGATTATTGTGGAAATTGGAGAAATAATGTATGAAAACATAGGAACATAGTAGTGACATGTGTTAACTCATTCGTACACCAAAAAAAAAACAAAAAAAATCACTTCAGTTTCTTATCCGTGGTTTAGAATTCCTTTTCATGTTTTTGTTTGGTGTTGAGATGGAAAAACAATGAGAAGTTAATCCTGGCATGGAGTAGAGGATTGGCAACAACCCTCAATTCCTGCTAAAATCTTCATTGTACAAATACATGCTTGCTTTGATTGAGCTGTGCATCAGAGACTTAGGCTACATAATATTTCATTCTCTTTAGTTTCTTAGTTCCTCAATTCGTACACATTTTATATAATGCTTATGATTATATATTTATCTAATGATTTTTTCTCATTCTTATAAACTATGAGAAAGAGAAAAATGGCATTCATTTTCATTGTTTTAGAAGAAGTCATTTGAGTGATTTTACAGTAGTTGTTGCAGAAGGTAGGAAGACCGAGAAGACCAGCTCACTCACCACCACCATTTTTCCATCCACCAGCTTTCTTGTTATGGTGGTTTCTTTGCCATTCCAGTCCTGAACTTGAATCAGGGACCCATTATCTAAGGTTACTTTATTCTGAAAACAAAAACAAAAACAAAAACAAAAAACTAAATTCAGATCAGATTGTTTTATTTCAACAGTAAAATTTTATCAGATGCCAAATTCTTTTTGGTTGTTGTAATATTCTCAGGTAGTTTTAGAATGGTGTTGACAATCCCACTGATTTTAAGATTTTGTCAGCAGTGAATTTGTTGGCTAATTCTGCTGAAGAAAAAAGGTTTTACAAGAGTAAACCTGTAATAATGTTATATTGAAGAAATCTTTTTTTTTTTTTTTTTTTTTTTTTGAGACAAAATTTCGCTCTTGTCGCCCGGGCTGGAGTGCAGTGGCATGATCTCAGCTCACTGCAACCTCCGACTCCCTGGTTCAAGCAATTCTCTTGCCTCAGCCTCCTGACTAGCTGGATTATAGGAATGCGCCACCATGCACAACTAATTTTTGTAGTTTTAGTAGAAATGGGGTTTCACCATGTTTGCCAGGATGGTCGCAATCTCCTGACCTTGTGATCCGCCCACCTCTGCCTCCCAAAGTGCTGTTATTATAGGCATGAACCACCATGTCTAGCCATGAAATGTTCTTCTTATCTTTGTGTAAGCATAGTATTATCTTTTTGCATAGAGTTACAAATACATTTTAACTTTCAAAATAAATGTGAAACTCCAGCCTGGGCAACACAGTGAGACCCCCATCTCTACAAAAAATAAATTAGCCATGTGTGATGGCATATGCCTGTAGTCCCAGCTACTTTGAGGAGGCTGAGGTGAGAGAATCACCTGAGCCCAGGGGTTGAAGCTGCAGTGAGCCAACATTGAACCACCGCACCCCTGCTTGGGTAACAGAGGCCCTGTCTCAATAATAATAATAATAATACATGTGAAACTAATTCAAACTCTCATTATATGAGCTTACTTAAAGAAGGCCTCTTTCCTCTTCTTACCCCAATAATATTTTCCATTGTGTTGTTGTTGTTGTTGTTGTTGGAGATAGGGTCTCACTCTGTCATCCAGGCTGGAATGCAGTGGTGCAATAATGGCTCACTGCAGCTTCAACCTCCTGTGCTCCAACAATCCCCCCACCTTAGCTTTCTGAGCAGCTGGAACTGTGGGCACGTGCCACCATAGTGGCTAATTGCTGTATGTTGTGTAGAAGCGGGGTCCTGCTATGTTGCTCAGGCTGGTCTCAGGCTCCTTCCTGGCATCAAGTACTCCCACTGCTTTGACCTTCCAAAGTGCTCGTATTACAGGCATGAGCTACTGCACCCAGCCTAGCTTTTTTATTCTGGTAGATGTTTAAGAATTTCGCATAGAAATCCATATTAAGCATTTAAGTCAAAACTTTTCTTCCATTTTATATGGTACAAGAACTTAAACTCTCAGATTCATTTAGTAACTATTACCATGGCGTAACAGTTCCTTTTATCAGGATACTACCCTCCATATAGTTTAACAATTCTCTATTGAGCTCATTTATTCAAATAACAAATATTTATTGAATGACTGTTTTGACCAAGCACTGGGTTCTGTGAAACAGACAGGAAATCCTGTTTTGAATGAGCTTACATTTTGGTGTAGGGAAAAAGACTGTAAACAATAAGTATAGAAGTAAATTACATATTACAAATAAATAATATATTCCTGAGATATGTGCCCCTGGGATATGAATGAAAACTCTGTGTAGCACTTTCAGGGTGAGGCAATAAAAAGCCCAGTGTCTCTATGTCTACCTTAGTTTTGGGCAAGACCACAATTTCTGCAGGTAAAGATACAGGGTAGTTGAACCTCTTTTAACCTGGATCCCTGAGAGATTAGGAGGAGCCGATTTCCTGTTTACTCCACTACACGCACACAAACTTCCCCAATGCCACCTGACACTATGGATGTACTGTAAGCTAGAAATAAATCCCCATTGTGTTAAGTCACTGCAGGCTTGTGTTCATTGTTATGGTGGTATGACTTATCTATACCAGCTAATACAAGGTTTATTCACTGTAATTCTATGTGTGAAAAACTGCTACAAAATGGATAGGGAAACATTTGTTTCTGAGAGGACCAAACAGTAATCTAGGGAAATGATTCTCAAAATGTGGTCTGCTAAGCATGTACATCAGATGATTAAAAATGTAATTTTCAGGTGCCTACCCCAGACATCAGAGCCTCTGGGAATGGCAGTGAGCAGGAGGCATTTTTCACAAGCATCCCAGAAGATTTGTATCTTCACATGTGACCTCCTTAGACCTATGTTTTAGACAAAAGTTTCTCATAAGGACTTTAGATATGTTTGCTAGAATTGCTTACTTACCTAGGATGATTTCTGACTAATATTCTTTTGAAACATGTCTGAAAGTCTGTCATAGGCCTCACCTTTGTTTTGTGGCCAACTGGTGTGACTTCCTCAAACTCTTCTCCTAGTTTAAAGGAGATCTCATTATTTTTAAAGATGCTTTTGGTTTTTATTGTGATGACATCTCCATCTGTACTGATGGTCACAATGGGTTTTGCCAAACAGCCCAGTTTCCTGCTGGCTTTTCCTATACCTGAAAACCAGATAAAAGGAATGTTATCTTTTCACATAAAGAATTACAAATACATTACATTACAATACAATACTTAAATCTGTTGTTGACTCCAAAAATTCAACATTATCTGTATAATTAATTCTTTGCTAACTAGGAGGTTTGCCAGTTGAACAGATTTAATGCTGCATGAGTTCACATATCCCAAGCAAGCAGCTCCATCATTAAATGTTTAAATAAACTATTTTTGCAGAAAAAAAAAATCTGTCTTTAGTTTTTGTTTAGTGATTATCCTTTTATACTAGTCCAGTAGTTATTAATCTTGTTGATTTTTGGACCCCTTTGAAAATCTCATTAAACCTATAAACCATCTCCCTATTTTAAAATTATATGCACTCACATACAAACAAAATACTTTGGTATGGATTTTTCCAGATACTTAGCTCTTCACTTATATTCTTACATGTACACATATATGGGTTTGTTTCCTCAATGATGTATGTTTTTATTGTGGTAAAATATTAATAACATAAATTTACCATTTTAAGTTACAATTCAGTGGTGAGTATATCACAATGTTGTACAACCATCATCACTATTTATAGGATTTTTAAAAATATAAATGTTGGCTGGGCGCTGCGGCTCATGCCTGTAATCCCAATACTTTGGGAGGCCAAGGCAGGTGGATCGCCTGAGGTCAGGAGTTTGAGACCAGCCTGACCAACATGGAGAAACCCCATCTCTATTAAAATGCAAAATTAGCCTGATGTGGTGGTGCATGGCTATAATCCCAGCTACTCGGGAGGCTGAGGCAGGAGAATCGCTTGAACCCAGGAGGCGGAGATTGTGGTGAGCTGAGACCATCCCATTGCACTTCAGTCTGGGCAACAGGAGCAAAACTCTGTCTCAAAAAACAAAAAAGTTATATATATTGTTTTTCAACTTGCTTCTTCCCTTATCTATATGTCTTGAAAATTTTCCATGTCACTTCATATAGATATGTATTTTTTCATAGTATATAATATTCCACAGTGTGTATAGACCAGAATTTATTTTGTCTGTCTCTCTTTTAATGAGCAATTCATTTGTTTCTGTTTTTGTAATTACAAATAATTACGCAGTGAACATCCTTGTATACGTAGCTCTGTGCAGCACACATAGGAGTGTTTTCAGTAGAAACAGCATTACATATACTGCAATACCTAAGTTAAAATTCTAAGGGAAGATATGCTGGGAAAAGTACTATAATATAGTTCATGGAATTCATATCGTAAAACATGATCACAGGATGTGACAGACTGGATAATGGTTCCTAAGGATATTCACGCCCTAATCCCTGGAACCTGTGAATGTTACCTTTACATGTTAGGGGACTTTGCAGATATGGTTAATTTAAGGATCTTGAGATGGGGAGTTTATCCTGGATTATCAGAGCAGACCTCAAACACAATCACAAATTTCCTTTGAAGAGGGAGGAAGAGGGATGCTATACTACAGAAGAGGAGAGAGCAGTGTGAAAATGGGAGCAAATTTTCCAGGACTGTGTAGAGTTTAAAAAAAAGAAAATGGAATCAAAGTTTGGAGCATTGCCACCAAATACTAAAGAAAGCCAGCAGCCAGTAGAAGCTGAAAAATAAGATCTATTCTGAAGTCTATTCTGAAGATCCCTAAATCTTACAGCAAATGTTTACAAAATAATCATTTAAAAAAATAGTTGTGGTTTTTTGTTTTAAAACATTTATTAAAATCACTTGCTGTTTAAAGTACATGCCCACTTTGTTTATGTAAATTCATGGTAACTTACATGAGGGATTATTGTTAACTCCAACGTAGTTTTGCAGAGAACTGTATCTTGGTACTGAATCAATATTTTTTTTTCTATGTGAAAAATTAGTGAGTCCAAGATTAATATTATTTTATACAGAGAAAGTTCTGTGCTATCAAAATGGGCATTTTTACTGGATATGAGATGCAAGTAAACATAGCTCACCCAGTTCCTTCATATAGTCTTCAAAATTTTCACAAGAAATGGACTTCCACGTTCCTTGGAGCTGGTCAACCATTCTGTCTGAGTTAAGTTGATCTCAAAGAAAAGTAGTTTCCTATGAATGTGTACGTTGGTGTTCCCTGGAGTAGCATGGGAACTTGTTTTTAATACAATTCTGGGTATAGAATGAGATGAGAAAAGTCAGGGAAAAAAAATAAGGAACTCAAATCCTTGCAATGTTCCTTGAGTATCATCTAAAGCAGAGAAGCTCTCTTAAATGTAAATAAATCAGGATGAAAATGGAAACATGTAAACTATTTAGCAGAACTAGATATAACTTTTCCAACACTAATTTATGATCAAATTAAATTTTAAGTCCCTCCCTAGGACCTGCCAGGCACAAAGCAATGTGTAAGGGCTGGGCTTAGATAGCTGTGTTTATGCCACACAACTTCCGTGCCCAGGTCTCTCTTTCTCTGTCCAAAGGTGATTCAGAAAAAGCCAATTTGTTGGCTGTTTGAAGATCATTCTCATTCTTGACAGTTTGAACTAAAAACCAGAGAGACTTCATAGATGGTACTTGACATTTGAAATAAAACGTTTCATAAAAGCTAGAACAACAATTTTAAGTCATGTGCATAATGAATAAGAGAATGAGACAGGGAAAAAAAGGAAAGAGATCATGTTACACAGATGCTCACACACACACACACACACACACACACACACACACAGCCCTGTTACTGACCCTTTCCCAGGTGCCAGCCCGACTTCCCAAAAGCTTAGAGAGCTGTCATTGCCACGAGAACACCAAATATCTTCTAAGTCCTCTTTAATTTAGGCTAGTTTCTGTTCCTCTCAACCTTGACTGTAACATCTCAGTGTCCACGAATATCTGTAAGTCCAAACAGGAGCAAAGGATGATAACAGCAAATACATCAGCTAGAGAAGAGGAGACTCCAATGCTAAGTAAAGGACAAACATGCCCTTATACAGTCCATCAGCCCCTGAGGACATTGTTATTAATGCTAGGCAGAGCTTGATGTCCATAGGCTGACACAAAGTTATTAAGAAAAACTGAAGTTATAAAATTATTTTAAGATAGGAATGGGGACATAGCATCTTATAATAACTTCCATTAAAATGTCAAATTTCCAAATTCTAACATCAAGGCCAATAGTCTTACTGATAATTACTCAACTAACATTTATGAAGCAACTGGCATTATATGCCTAATATGAGGCTAAAAATTTTGTCTAAACTATTGATTTAATGTTCCAGATATGGTTGGTAAAGATACCATAGTTCGGCTGTGCATGGTGGCTCACCCCTGTAATCCCAGCACTTTGGGAGGCCAAGGTGGTTGGATCATGAGGTCAGAAGTTCGAGACTAGCCTGGCCAATATGGTGAAACCCCATCGCTACTAAAAATACAAAAAGTCAGGCATGGTGGCATGCACCTGTAGTCCCAGCTACTCGGGAGGCTGAGGCAGGAGAATCACTTGAACCCAGGATGTGGAGGTTGCAGTGAGCTGATATTGTACCACCACACTTCACTGCACTCCAGCCTGGGAGACAGAGCGAGACTCTGTCTCAAAAAGCAAAACAAAACAAAACATAGTTCATTGGTTGGTTTTCCTTTCCTGAGTAATTTGTATGACTATGCTCATTCAACTTAATAGGCATGAGGCTGAAGCCAGGAAATGACCCAACATTGAGGGTAATCTGGGCACTAAAATTAGGCACTGAAGGCACTAAAATTCCCAGGATTTTTCAAGAAAATGTCAAATGTGCTGCTATTTTTGTTGGATGCACATTGATCCCCTCCCACAAGGAAAATAGTGATTGAAGATCACCGCCTTGAAGAAGATGCCATGTGACATCTCCCAAGCAGTGTTTTTCCCTGTTGCTGGCAGATTAGACTTGCAGAGACATTAGTACTGAGGTGTGAGACAGAGCCCATGCACGGCTTCTATCTCTGCACTGTGGCTCCTCTGCTCATGTGTCCATCACATCAGCCCAGAGACTGCCTACTGTCAGCTGGCTTAGTCATTTTGTCTACTTGGTTGGTCAGTGATTGAACAACCTTCTGTGATTGATGCTTTCTGGTGTTCATTCATATGAGAGCCAAAAATCTTCACATATTATGTCCACTTCTACAGGTTCACACACATTCCTTTCCCACCAAACATTCTTGTCTGCAATGTTTCAGTCCTTCTCCTCCAGGTCCCTGACCAGCTGTTCAGACAATTCACCTCCATCCATTAGTAGATATATAGTCCCATCCCAAGCCACTGTGTCCTCCACATGAAATAGGGAACAGGTGCATGACTCTGAGTTTTGTCCATTGACATGATTTTCCTTACCATTTCCTCAAGTGCCCCACCCACCACCCCAAGTGTAATGAAACCGCTGCCCATTTTTAACTTGCCTCCATACCCTGAGCTGACCAGTACAATAAACATGCTCAGGCTTTTTCTCCTCCTTTAGCTGGTCACATGGGACCCACATACTGTCAGGGGCATGATCTGAAGGAGGGGTGCTGGTACTGCAGTGGTGAGTGACATGGGGACCTGCACCACCTGCTCATGCAGTTACCTTATGACTTCTGGTCTTGTTTAGGCTTGATCCCAGGCGCACAATATGATCTCTGTGGACTGCTGCTGGACATGCCTGACTTGATGACTCTGTGGATCTGACAGAACCCGGCTCATAATGGATAGTTCCAGTTACATTGTTACAGTACTTGGTATCCTGTAGTCAAGAATTCTGTCTCTATGGCGCCTCAGTAACACATGAGGCACTCTTCTGTAATAGGTGGATAAGTCTCTGTTACAGATGGCATGATCTTTCCCCACAACCCCAGACATTGGTGCTATGATGCACACACACACACACACACACACACACACACACACCATACACATTACACTGCATATTTTCCTCTCACCAACACCTCCAGCATCCTGGAGTTTACCAATCACATGACCCAAGCATCAGGGCAGCACCTACCATAGCCCTTCTTTCCTGCAGAACCTTTCCTGCTTTAAGCTCCACTCAAAGCAGGGAGCCTTTCATGCCATTCAGTATACAGGCTGCAGCACATGCCTAAATGTGCAATATGTTGCCACCATAAGCCAAAGAGTCCCACAAGAATTTTGATAGGAGAGACGAAATGAAGCAATTTGTCTTTTGGAAAAGATAACCTTACATGCCCTTGGCCAAGCTGGACCCCTAAAAACTTTACAAGAGTAGAAGTTGCCTCAATCACCACTAACTTTAACTCCCATATTCTGTGTTGAATGTGTCATACCAAGGCCTCTTGTGTACTAGCCACTTCTTGTTCATCCTGACTGATAACGTGACATTGTGCTAGATGTCTAGACAGCCCAGATCTCCTCCGATTATATTATGATAAAGAGTAGGAGTTAACATAGTCACAGGACAAAATCAATGACTCATGTCTGTAATCCCAGTACTTTGGGAGGCCGGAGCAGGTGGATCACCTGAGGTCAGGAATTTGAGACCATCCTGGCCAACATGGCAAAACCCTGTCTCCACTAAAAATTACAAAAATTAGGCCAGGCTTACATCTGTAATCCCAGCACTTTGGGAGGCTGAGGTGGGTGGATCATGAGGTCAGGAGCTCAAGACCAGCCTGACCAACATGGTGAAACCCCATCTCTACTAAAAATACAAAAATCAGCCAGGCATGATGGCGGGTGCCTGTAATCCTAGCTATTTGGGATACTGAGGTAGAGAACGGTTTGAACCTGGGAGGTGGAGGTTGCACTAACCTGAGATCATGCCACTGCACTCCAGCCTGGGCAGCAAGAGTGAGGCTCCAGTTCAAAAAAAAAAAGTGTAAACATATATCATTGTCTGTTCCATGTAAATGCAAATTGTTTCTGATCTTTCCCAATTGAGGTAGGAAAGAATGCTAAATATGGTCTGACTGAACACCATGTACCTGACACTGTATTAATCTCCACTATCCAAGATAACACATCAAGTACAGTAGCCACCATTGGAGTTATTAGTTGATTTTTCCCTAGGCTAGAACTACTCTAAGATTCATTTGGATTTTGCAGTGATTAGACTCATGAATTAAATGGTGCTATGATATGAACCACGACCTTCTGCAGTCTTAAAATCCTTTTGACTAGCCCCAATTTCTGCTATTTCTCACTCCTCCCCTGCCACCAAATACAATATTTTTAATTCACCATCTTATCTAGGGCTGGAGAAAGGACAGCAGTGAAGAAGGTGGGGGTGTGAGGGTGCAGTTTCAGAAGCTTCCATTTTGCCTTACCCGTTCTAATTCTTGTTTGGTTAGAATGAGAAAGATGATGCTTACTCCAGCAGCCAAGGATGTCAGTCCCAATTATGCATTCAGGGCCTAGGGAAATGACTACTGGAGGAATCCACAGACCTACTGGACCCACTGAGACCTAGACTTTGACCAAAGTTCTGTTTATTACCTAGCTGCTGTATGCCTTCACTCTAACATGATGATTTGGAACTCTGATTCAACACTAATTCAGACCCAAGGCTATAAGAATACCTGGGTAGTCCTCTTTTCTCATTGCGTATTTTTTCAAGTAAATGATAACAGATCTCTTTGGAGGAAAATGTGGAAAATTAACAGTTTATGATATTTCAGGGTTATTCCTTCTGTGGGCTTGTCACCTATTGAGCCAATGGTTTCTGGGTCTGAAAATTGTCTCAGATCTGGAATCTGGGCAATGGATCATGACTTTCTACTGGGGTGACCATCCTTAGTCTGCTGCCCATCCATTCTTGCCTTCTTTTGAATGTATATATGAAGCAGCACCCTTGTTGGCTATCCATCTATTTTGCCTCTATGGATTCAATGTTATTTTAATCATCTCCATAACCCCTTTCAGGTCAAACACCCTTAGCCATGCCTTCAACCTTGCCCCATTTTATGGTAAAGTACAATCAATCCCCTGGTTTCTGGCAGTAAAGTGCTGCCATCTGGCCCAGATTGTTTCAAATTCTCTTCATCCCCATTGCTACCAATGAGCTGAACTCTGACAATCCAACGAGAGCAGCCGCTAAAACTCTTACTGATGCTGTGGCCCCTCTCACCAGTGCAACCTTGATGGTCTGGTAAACATGAAAAAATCTTCTGGATTCTCTTATGGAACGTACTTAGTGACTGCTCTTCTGACATATATATGCATACACGTGCACGCACATACTAAAAGTACTGTGACTATATTTATCCGTCACAGAAGCACAGATCTCATAACTTTCCTACAAAGTAAGAGAGGAAAGCCCCACCACCCGAGATCTTCCAGCCTTTTGGGATATTAAACTTGAGTTATTTCAGCAAAGCAATTTGAAGTGTATTGGAGCTGGA